AGGCCATTTTTCACGTTTCAGCGCTCTTACACTTTGAATGACAATTGCGCGGTCATACAACATTGTACCCAAACTAAAATTTTATCATTTTCTTCACACAACTAGAGCTTTCTTTTGGTGGTATTTAATCACTGCTGGGGTTTTTATTTTTTGCTAAATTAACAAAAAAAGACAAAAAATGTAAAAAAAAAAAAACCACGTTTTTCTTTGTTTCTGTTATAAAAGTTTACAAATAAATAATTGTTCTTGATAAATTTAGGCCAATATGTATTCTGCTACATGTCTTTGGTGAAAACAACCCAAATTAGGATGTATTATTTAGTTTGTAGGAAAGTTATAGAGTTCACAAACTATGGTATAGATCTGAAAATTGATCAATCCTGAAGTACTGACAGCCAATCTAATTTCTTGAGGTCCAAGAATGTCAGAATAGTACAGATATCCCCCAAATGACCCCTTTTTGTAAAGTAGACAGTCCGACATACTTCATAAGAGGCATGGCGAGTTTTTTGAAGTTGTATTTTTTTTGTCATAATTTTTTGGAAAATGAAAAAATTAAAAAAATAATTTTCACTATTTTTTTTTTTTACATACTGTCACCAGTGCAGTACAGCGTCATCATATAACTGGCATGGCGGTGAACAGGGATACTGACTGGTGACAGTATGAAAAAAAAAAATATATACATTTTTTTTTTTTTATTATTATTTTTAATTACATTTTGTTTTTATTTTTTTTTAAGATTTTTTTTCATATTTTACTATGACCAGTGAAGTGATCAGTATTTTTTTTTTTTACACAATTTGCTTATAGCAAAGAATTACTTTGCTATAAGCAAGCATTTACCTGAATGACATCGATTCATTCAGGTTTTTTTTTTTTGTGCTTAGCTGTGATTTGGCCACAGCTAATCACATGACATGTGCATGTGACCTGCTGTGATCATTCACAGCTAGGCACTAGTATACAATGGATGGCATGAATGAAGCCATCCATTGTATACAACTGTCATGTGACCTGCTGTGATTGGTCACAGCAGGTCACATGGTACCAGCAACGGGAGTCGGTACTCAGATCTGTCATCGGCCGTGTCCCAGGTACACGGCTGGTGACAGATCGCGCGCCGCTGCGCGGCTCTGCAACCGTGCGAACTGCGCATGTGCGGGAGGACGCCAAATGGCGTACACCCCAGAAAGCTAAACCATTTTTGCGGCCGCCAAACGGCTATAGGCCGGGCGGCTAATGGTTAACTCATGCGATAATATTGAGTGAATTGTGCCCATAGGGCCAATAAATGTTGCCATGGGTATCCCCTTCACATCCCTCTTCATTTTTCTGTTGTATGCTGCACAGGTACACTTCACTGTGGCTTTCTTTCTGACTCTGATTTGTGGGGCCTGTATACCAAGGGGTAACGCAGGTGGGAAGAGGATTGGTGCTGGCTAATCAGGTGCAATCATTTTCTCTGACCAAATGAAGGACAGTGGTGGGTGTGGCCTTCATTGGGGGTGTGGCGTTGTTTGGCGTGCTCCAAATCCAACCTACATTATATAAATCCTGCAGTAGTGGGTAGTTTAGCTTGGTATAAGCCAGGTTATTTTCAGCAAGTCCTTGCCTGTGGTGGTTTGGGGGAAGGAAGAAGAGATATTGTGGTGAATTGCCCCAGACCCCACGCAGGCTGTGTTTTGATGTGGGCTGTAAATGTTTTGCATTTTTTTCCTTCTAAAGTGTGTTTGTGTATTATTGTACAATGATTGTGTTTATTATCTTTGCATTGTAATCCTAACACATGTCAATTGCTCTGCTCTTCCAAATCTGCACTTGGCTATAGTTTGCTTGCTTATTTATACTAAAATGCAGTTTTAGGAGAAACCTGGTTAGAAATGTATGTGTGGGGGATTTGGGGAGGTGGGAGGTGCTTTTTATTTTGGCACTTTCTTATGTATTTTTATATTGATATTTTGATCTGGAGCCTGTTTTGTGGCTAGATAATCCTACTAAGTGATGTGTGAATTTTATGGCCCTGAAAATGTTGCTAGATTCATATTAACTGTTTGTTTCCTGCTGTAACCCGTGAAAGCACTGTTCATTAGAAGTATAATCTTTTAGATTGTAAGCTCTTATGAGCAGGACCGTTCTATTTTAGCAACATCAATCCTACGAGGTCATGTGGCCTTGTATGGTTCAGGAGGGGGGAGGGAGCTCTCCCCCCCCTTTCCTGACCTGCAAGGCTGCATGCTCGGATAAGGCACTATTTTTAATGGATTTTCATTCGTAAACCGAAATTTACGTTAACCGTGACGTTCGTAAACCGAGGTAAACCTGTATTAGTATTGCAATCCTTTGTATTGGGATACATAGAACCAACATACATCTGAATTGGCAACATAGCACAATATTTGTGTCACATTTGAGATATCTGGCTAGTTACACTGACCTTGCCCAGGGACTTAGGGTTGATTCACACCACAGAAATACAGATAAAGACAGAGACAGAGAAGGATTTGGAGGGGAACCCCTTCGCCAAAATTTAATAAAATAATGGCATGGAGTCGGGAGACATGCTGATTACAAGTGCGATTTGCAAGACATCTGACACAGATCTCTCTGCAAATCGCACTTAAGTAGTGTATTCACTACTTTATAAATAGTTGCGGCTCCAACCAAGTTTGAATGACACCAATATGAACGCTCTAATAGTGGTCACATTGAGCGCGACGTGGCATGCAATTTGCATAACATGCGACTTGCAAATCGTGTGCCAAGTAGCACCCTATTGTCCACTATTAGAGTGGTAACAAGGGTGCGTTTTCGACACCGATTTCTAAAGTAGTTCATGTACTACTTTTGTGGTGATTTGCATAGACATCTGTGTCAGATGTCTTGCAAATCGCAAGGAAATCGGCAACTTCATTGTAAGTCGCACGATTTCTAAATCGGCTTTGATGTGACCGACGTGTAAGGTCTTTTTATGTTTGATTTCATGAGTGTTTTTTTTCGATTTATGGGAAATACTGCATACTAGCAAAAGTGAATTGACATTTTCAGTATTGCATGCGCGATGTGGTCATGTGGCTGCCTTAACTCATGCGATAATATTGAAGTGCATTGTGCCCATAGTGCCAATAAATGTTGCCATGGGTGTCCCCTTCACATCCCTGTTCATTTTTCTGTTGTATGCTGCACAGGTACACTTCACTGTTGCTTTCTTTCTGACTCTGATTTGTGGGGCCTGTATACCAAACGTTAACGCAGGTGGGACGAGGATTGGTGCTGGCTAATCAGGTGCAATCACTTTCTCTGATCAAATAAAGGACAGTGGTGGGTGTAGCCTTCATTGGGGGTGTGGCGTTGTTTGGCGCGCTCCATATCCAACCTATGTTACATAAATCCTGCAGTAGTGGGTAGTTTGGCCTGGTATAGGCCAGGTTATTTTCAGCAAGTCCTTGCCTGTGGTGGTTTGGGGGGAGGAAGAAGAGATATTGTGCTGAATTGCCCCAGACCCCACTCAGGCTGTGTTTTGATGTGGGCTGTAAATGTATTGCATTTTTTTTCCTTCTAATATGTGTTTGTGTATTATTGTACAATGATTGTTTATTATCAAGTTGTATAAGGAGAGATGTTTAAGAGAAGAGAAACAAAGTTGCAAGGAAATATAAACAGAAGGAAAATTGAAAGTTTCAAACTTGTCAGAAGAACAGGACACAGGTAAGATTCACTCCCTTTCCACTTTCTAGTCAGTAGCCAAAATCTTAATTGATTGATCAATATTCCCTGGCTCTGACAGAACCCTGAAAATTGATCTCCATCTTTTGGGCATTCACAAATGTCAAGGAGCTTACAATCTAAGGCCAGAAATTCAGTCATATACTAGGCCCAAGTAACCTAACAGCATGGCTTTGGAGTGTTGGCAGAAACACACCCGCACAATGAAAGCATGCAAACTCCAGACAGGTGTGGCCATGACTGGGATTAGAACCCATGACCCAAGTGCTGTAAGCCCTGTGTGCTAACCACGAAGTCACTGTAACAGACAGAGTTTGAGCTGGAATGTAGAATCGTTACATGATTAAAGAGAATGAAGATATATCATTATATTGGCACATAAAAACGCTAACGGGACAAAGCCCGTACTTGTGCACCACCTAGCGACCATATCCAGCATTGCTCCTAGAAATGTGTCTAACCAGACTGTGTATTTACTAAGGGAATTGTGCCTAAAAAGTAGACTCTTTTCCAATCAGCTTGCTAGACTCTTTTCTGAAGACTGAAAGGTCTTAATTGATTGAATTGAGCCTGCCTGAATGTTTAGCATCTGCTGGTAGACTGAATTCTTAGTAAATCAAGGCCAATCTGTTCTGGTATCAACATGTGCTTGTGTTGTTTCGGCTGTATATTAGGATTACTCGGCAGTGTCATCCCATAATAATATAGTAATGAAATGCTAATTTTTTTGAGGTAACATAATGATGTAATTCACATTTGGAAGAAAATAAAATATAAATAAAGCGGCTCAATCTTTTCATATGTACCTTTCTTCTTCCAGGGCCCATTTCTACATACATACTGCCAAGATATTTTTGGCAAGAGCTGTGCTATACTATTGTGTAAACTAGAATATATTTTACAACACATGGCTTGGGCATAGAATATTGCATTTCTACAGAAACAGACATCATCTAACTCTTATGTTGGGTAGAAAATTGAAGCTGTCACTCAGACATTGTCACAGAATTGTTGTGCCAAGTTCTACAGTAACCCTAGCTTAGAGTCTAGCATTTCTAAAGAGTGCAGGTTCATAATTAGATTTTTCACAAAAACAAAGAGAACAGAGGCCGAAAGATCAAAATCACACATTATCAAGTATCTATAGGAATGAGTTTAAGACATGCTTTGGGGAATATTTATGCATTTATATAAACTCATTCCTATACATATATAGTCCACAGTACTGCATACCAACTGAACATATAAATTAATAGAATGTCATTATTGTTTTCTTAAAAATTCAAAGTCTGGGACATCATTTTCCACCATTCCATCAGCTCTTCCTTTTCCTCTTCTTTTCTTTCTGATAAGGACTCCAAATCAAAATCAATCTGTGTAAAAAGAAAAGAGATCTTCTTTGTGGTCAATCAAAAAAAGGAATATGGGAGCAGCAGAGAAATAAGAGCGTGGGAGGAGCAGAGAAAATATATATCAGCTCTGGTATTATTCACATCTTGATGCAGAAAGATTTAGAAAGAAACCATGGAGCCCGCTTATAAAGCAGTAGCATGGCTTAACCAAAAACAACACTCCTGTATGAAAAAAAAAACACCTCCACATTTATAAAGCACAGAACAGTGCTTTACAAATATACCATTAAAGTAAAGGCTGAAGGTTTTTTTACCTTCATGTATTCTATGCATGATGGTAAAAAACCTTCTGTGTGCAGCAGCTCCCCCAGCCCCCTCAAAACTTACCTGAGCCTCATCCAGATCCAGCAATGTGAATGACAGTCTCGGCTGTCCCAAGTCTCTGCCTCCTCTATGGCTGAGACAGCAAGTGGGAGCCATTGGCTCCCACTGCTGTCAATCACAGTCAGCCAGCCAATGAGGAGAGAGGAGGCGAGGCCAAGCCATGGCTCCGTGAATGGACACACGGAGCAGCAGGTGCCCCCATAACAGGCTGCTTGCTGTGGGGGCCCCCAACAGAAAGGAGGAGGCAGGAAAGCCTGTGGGGGACCCAAGAAGAGAAGGATCCAGGCTGCTCTGTGCAAAACCACTGCATACAGCAGGTAAGAATAGACATTTTTGTTATCTTACAAAAAAAATTAACCTTTAGAAATGCTTTAAGTATCCTCAAGCAAACAAACCCCATTCGTTTTTAATAATGGCAAGGTAAATTCTGGGATGTCAGATCCTGGTAACACGACCTGTCACAGTAATGAAACTGGGTTCTCCTTCTTTGACAAGATTAGACTGCTTACTGCACCCCTCTAAGCGCCCAGCCAGTGTACTCCAGTGATCCACTACACTCTCTCTCTCTCTCTCTCTCTCTCTCTCTCTCTCTCTCGCATCAGTAAAGCCCATCCCAGCCTACTGTGAAAAAATGTAATGAAAAGACAATGCCCTCCTGACAGCTCGCATTTTAGATTGAGATGGAAAGTGGCCCCAGCCTAGGCTCCTCCCGGGCCACTGACCTGTTTCACCTCAGTGACTATGACTAAGCCCTGCATATCGGGGGCATGACCTGGGAGAAGTCTAGGCTGAAGCCACTTTCCATCTCAATAGAACACATGAGCTGTCAGGTGTGCAGTGTCTTTCCATTATATTTTGCACAGCAGGCTGGGCTCTCTATCACAGAGTATTTTCTAAAGAGTTAGGCAAGCCATAGATGATGCGACTTTCTTTGCAGCAGCCATGGGTCACAGGAAAGAAAATTGCTTGATTCCTCTATCAACACAGTCAGTGTTGATGGGGGAATCCCTCCAACTGAGCTATTGTGTTCTCCCAATTGGGGAGCACAGGGATCTTTCCCAGCAGGGAGAACAGAATGAATATTTCTAGCGGTTATAGCCGCTGGCAGTAATTGCATCCTAAAAATTCTTTGACGTGCTGGTTGTACTCAAGTCGATCAATGGACATACAGTGGGGATCGAAAGTTTGGGCACCCCAGCTAAAAATTTGTATTAATGTGCATAAAGAAGCCAAGGAAAGATGGAAAAATCTCCAAAAGGCATCAAATTACAGATTAGACATTCTTATAATATGTCAACAAAAGTTAGATTTTATTTCCATCATTTACACTTTCAAAATAACAGAAAACAAAAAAAAATGCGTCTGCAAACGTTTGGGCACCCTGCAGAATTTATAGCATGCACTGCCCTCTTTGCAAAGCTGAGACCTGCCAGTGTCATGGATTGTTCTCAATCATCATCTGGGAAGACCAGGTGATGTCAATCTCAAAGGTTTTAAATGCCCAGACTCATCTGACCTTGCCCCCAACAATCAGCACCATGGGTTCTTCTAAGCAGTTGTCTAGAAAACTGAAACTGAAAATAGTTGACGCTCACAAAGCTGGAGAAGGCTATAAGAAGATAGCAAAGTGTTTTCAGATGTCAATATCCTCTGTTCGGATTGTAATTAAGAAATGGCAGTCATCAGGAACAGTGGAAGTTAAAGCAAGATCTGGAAGACCAAGAAAAATATCAGACAGAACAGCTCGCAGGATTGTGAGAAAAACAATTCAAAACCCACATTTGACTGCACGATCCCTCCAGAAAGATTTGGCAGACACTGGAGTTGTGGTACACTATTCCACTATAAAGAGATACTTGTACAAATATGGTCTTCATGGAAGAGTCATCAGAAGAAAAAACCTCTTCTACGTCCTCACCGCAAAAATCATCGTTTGAACTTTGCAAATGAACATATAGACAAGCCTGATGCATTTTGGAAACAAGTTCTGTGGACCGATGAGGTTAAAATTGAACTTTTTGGCCGGAATGAGCAAAGGTACGTTTGGAGAAGAAGGGGCACAGAATTTAATGAAAAGAACCTCTGTCCAACTGTTAAGCATGGGGTTGGATCAATCATGCTTTGGGGTTGTGTTGCAGCCAGTGGCACAGGGAACATCTCACGAGTAGAAGGAAAAATGGATTCAATAAAATTTCAGCAAATTTTGGATGGTAACTTGATGCCATCTGTGAAAAAAGCTGAAGTTAAAGAGAGGATGGCTTCTACAAATGGATAATGATCCTAAACACACCTCGAAATCCACGGGGATTACATCAAGAGGCGTAAACTGAAGGTTTTGCCATGGCCTTCACAATCTCCTGACCTCAACATAATTGAAAATCTATGGATAGACCTTAAAAGAGCCGTGCGTGACAGACAGCCCAGAAATCTCAAAGAACTGGAAGACTTTTGTAAGGAAGAATGGGCAAAGATACCTCAAACAAGAATTGAAAGACTGTTGGCTGGCTACAAAAAGCGTTTACAAGCTGTTACTTGCCAAAGGGGGCAGTACAAGATATTAACTCTGCAGGGTGCCCAAACTTTTACAGATGCCATTTTTTTTTGTTTTCTATTATTTTGAAAGTGTGTAAATGATGGAAATAAAATCTAACTTTTGTTGACATATTATAAGAATGTCTAATCTGTAATTTGATGCCTTTTGGAGATTTTTCCATCTTTCCTTGGCTTCTTTATGCACATTAATGCAAATTTTTAGCTGGGGTGCCCAAACTTTCGATCCCCACTGTACTTGTGTACAGTCAGCCTGCCCATTCATGATTCAAATCTCGGCTTGTCCCTGCTGAACCAGCTAAGATTCAAACCATCTATGGTAGGCTTTACACTCTATGGGATATAGTATACTCAACCTCGCTGCCTGTATTTTATCACTAACAATGCAGCATCCCGTAACTAGCATTATCTGCTCTGTTTTGAATAGCCCACTATGTATATTATTAGCATTTAAGTGTTTAAGGAAGCCTACATCAACTTTTTTACCATGGAGGAACCCTTGAAGTAACTGTTTGGCTTCAGGGAACCCCTGCTAATAATTATTATATTTACAGCTCACAGTACATTAGTGTGATGGTCAGTTTGCAGAATGCTCCTTAGTTTTGTGGTCATTGGGAAGATCCCCCTTACAGCAAAAAAGATCACTGGTGTCAGTGGTTACACATCTGATAGGCAGAAATCACTTATTGCTTAAGGAACCCCTAGCAACTTCTGAAGAAATCCAAGGGTTTTTATGGAACCCTGGCTGAGAAAAACCGGTTTAAAGGCTCGTTCACACCAGGTGGCCCTTGTCTTGTTCCGTATGATGGCAGTATTGGTCAATATTAGAAAATTATTACCTTGGTAGCAGGACTATAACCAACAGCTACTTTCTTAGTGATTGCCAGAAAACCAGGAGCTGAAGCTGTGACTTTGTAGTTTCCAGGTAAAAGCAGCCTCCAGTAATCACCGTCCTTAGCTAAAACACAAATAAACAAATAAATATATAAATATTTAAAGCATATCCATAGTCAAAATTAAAAATTATATATTCATTTCCACATTGTATTTTAATTATTTTTAGCCTCCTTCTGAAAATCTGAATTATTTTGAAGTTTGTAAACTGAAGGAGATTCCCACTTCCTTCAATTCTATGAAGTATGCACTGTGCCCTGTGAATAGGCAATGCTGTGTCACACATTTCACAGAGCCTGCCTACAGAGGTGCTGAAAAGCAGGGTTTCAGGAGGCGGAGTAAGTACAGGAATCGCTGCTTCCAGGCAGTAAGGTACCATGGGATATGTAGTCCTTAGAAATTGCAAGTAAACAGAAGAGGGGAAGCTGCAAATCATGCAGGGAATACAGGAAGTTGGGGAAAGAGATGACCAGCAGACAGGCAGCAATTACAACATAAAAGCAGATTTTCAAGTAAGCTTATACTGGATTGTCAGTGGTAACTATTGTTTGTAAATCAACCCCAACATAACTGATAAGAGTGTAGCACAAGCAGAGAGCATAGGAAGTTAAGAGGAGAGAGAGGTGCGCCAGACTGAGTGCAGTATAAAATCATCAATTTATTGCACACAATATAGAGTAACTCACAGGAGGTTCTCAGAGGAGGAGCAGGGAGGGCAGGTGGGTATCCAGGGGGCCATAGTGGTCTGATGAAGAAGCATAAAGCTTTGAAACGCGTTACTGCCCCCCTTCCTGCTGCTCCACGTTCCGTCCTGACGTCACTTCCTCCCGGCGGCCATCTTTGCGTTCCAGGCTGGTTCCACAGACGTGACACAGCCCATGCTGGCTGGAGAGGTGCAAATGTTTACCAGGAGACCCAGCTCTCATCCGCACCGTGGCCCCCTGGATATCCACCTGCCCTCACTGCTCCTCCTCTGAGATCGGTGATAGAGACTTGGTCATCACGTTAGCTGTGGCCCCTGGAACCCATCCAGTTCCTCTATCCTGCCTCTGGTACTACGCCTGGATGACGTCCCTTTTGCATTGATGTCTGAATACTACTTACCTCCTGTAAGTTACTCTATATTGTGGGCAATAAATTGATGATTTTATACTGCACTTAGTCTGGCGCACCTCTCTCTCCTCTTATTTCCTATTGCAGAGTTCCGCTTAACTCTAGTGGGTGCTGCCTCACGACGGTGCCATACCTTACAGCTTTAACATCACCCCCCCGAACTACCTATGTGATTGTACTGTATTATCCCCATCTCTCCAGCAAAACGCTCATTGCTATAATCTCCACCATTTTTACCCTTCTATGGAGAGTCTTTATATATCCCCATAGTTTAACTTCCTTGGTTTTCCCTATTACCCATGGGACTATAATATCCATAACCACCTCTCCTGCGCCAATATACTCTCTTACCATAGGAAGTTAGCAGCCCAGAGAATTTCTGGCAAGATCAACAGGTTTTGCACTTAATGAAAATCTATAACACATTTTCAATAGTATATTGATTAAATTAAAAGGGATCAAATGCATAACCTTTAATACATTCAAGGACTGCAAGGACTGTAGGCTGTGGGCACCCAGAGGGAAGGCACGGCACCACACAGTGGTTATAGATGCGAAGTATATTGTCAAAACATTCCAGATACAGTAAAACAGTATGAGACAAGCAGCAACACTCAGTATGTGGGACTTGCAGGGAGAGAAAGTGATGCACAGCCCTGGGAGAGGGAGTGGATGGAAGGCAGATGCAGCAAAAACAAGTATCAGAGAATTTCCCCAATCCTTATGATGTCCCTCCTCCTCTGGAACCTCTCCCTACGCTAGGTGCACTCTTCCTGCCCCTAACCAGCCACACGCAGAATTCCAACCAACTGCAGTGAGCCAGGGCTTTTTGTAAGCTATGTTCTCACTAAAGACATTTAAGATGGTTGTAGGTGTTACTCAGGTGGCAGCGTCCAATCAAACAGCAGCCCACCCCATGATAAATACGGAGGCCTAAGAGGAATGGGTCTACCACCTGTGTATGGAGGTATGCACCTGCCTACAGGCTCCCTGAACTGTATTAGGGAAGATTACTGATAAAACACAGAACTAACTATGCTTGTCTTTAAATCAGCTCTTTTCTGAAATGGGAAGCAGCCAGGATCCTGGGCCAAAGTTTTATATGGAGTTTCTATTTCTCTCTAAACCCAGGCAAAACCCAACACCCTCCTGGTGCTAATCCCTTCCCCATTTTACTCAGCTATCACATGCATGCACCTCTTTTGGGCAGTTTGGACCTAGGATGCAAGGACTTCATGGTACACAAGAACTGGTCTGAAGACAACTGCAGGTGTTTTCATGTGCTACAACATGCCTACACGTCTCCCAGTAATGATGGATTAAACATGTTGTTGTGCCTGACAGGTTCAAACATGTAATTCTAATTCTCCCATATGCACATCTATACACTTTCTTCTCCAAACAAATCTGGGTCTCTACCATATTTCTGGCCACAAACAGCAATTTTCCAGCCATTGCAACCACCTTCATGCAGCTTTCAATTCATAAAACGATCAATAAGGGTAAGGCAACAGCTTCCATTATTTAATGGTTTTAATAGAAACTGTTTATGGTAGCTTGTCATGATTCATTGAGACATTGGTTAAAATTGCATAAAAACTGTATGGTTAGAATATCTGTCAACTAATGTTCAAATAGAACCTCGTGATACCACTGGCCCTATTCATAAAAGTGGCTGAAGAAACATATTCACGGAATTTATAGCAACCAATCAGATTTAGATCAGCACTTTAGAATAGCAGCTGAACACCTGTCTGTTGGCTATTAATTGTTGGAGACAGTTCTGCACTCATTACTGGTATAAATAAGTTTTAGGAGTATTTTTATGTATCATATTACTAATATCTTTTTAGATAAACAACAATTAAGGTTCATGTTTAGCAGCCAAAAATAACAATACAATGCACCTGTAATAAAGACTAAGTACTGTGTAAATGTTTAATCACTTGCCCTCCTGAGGATTTACCCCCTTCCTGACCAGGCCATTTTTTGCAAGACGGTGCTGCGTTACTTTATCTGACAATTGCACGGTTATGCAACACTGCACCCAAATTAAATTTATGTCCTTTTTTTTCCCACAAATTGAGCTTTCTTTTGCTGGTATTTGATTGCCTGTGCGGTTTTTATTTTTTGAGCTAAAAAAAAAAAAAAAACTGACAATTTTGAAAAAAAAAAAAAAAACCAATATTTTTGACTTTTTACAATTAAACATGTCCAGTAAAGAAAATTAAAAAAATCAAATTTTGTCATAAATTTAGGCCAAAATTTATTCTGCTACATATCTTTGCTAAAAAATCCCAATACGTGTAAATTAATTGGTTTACGTGAAAGTTTTAGCATTTACAAATGGCAAATGTTTTTTTTATACTAGTAATGGTGGCAATCAGTGACTTATAGTGAGACTGCGGCGGGCATTCTGACACTAGGGGGAACCGACTTGGTGTCACTGACATCCCCAGTGACACCAATACAGTGATTAGTGCTAATTAAAAGCACTGACACTGTACTAATGGCACTGGGCAGGGAGGGGTTAACATTTGGAGTGATCAAAGGGTTAACTGCGTGCTGTTTCACTGCGTGCTGTGTGTGCTTTACACTGAGCACACTGCTTTGTATGGCTGTGCTATGCAGAGCCATACAAAGCAGTGTGCAAGAGCTGACATGGGAGAGATCTGTGCTTTTTATACACAGGTCTCTTCCCCGTCCGTTATACTCGGTGATCACCGGGCGGGGAATTGACAGCCGAGGCCGCGAATGGGTATATATACATGGTTTTGCGCACCCATGCTGCCCTGTAGCAGTATTTCTGCTATAAGGCGGCCCAGAAGCAGTTAGTGTCATTAAACCCACATCATAAAAAAAGACCAATAAATGCTGTATTACATGCTGTTAAAACTCCCTTATTCACTATAGGATTTTTTATTCTGAAAAAAACCTGGTTGATTATCCTGTTCTCTATCTCCCTCTTCTGTCCATGTCCCCAGTGGAGTTGGGAATTGTGCAGAACAGTATTTGCAGCTTCTGCACATGCTCAGTTTTCGATGAGTTTCTATGCTGAGCATTTTCTCCTTATCACATCTGAGCAGCCCATGTGAATACCGAGTCACAGATGTATACGAACACTGGTAAATGACAGCCCACTCCCTCCCTTCCTACTCCTCTATGCCCACTAACCAGCTAAACACAATGGGGGTGGGATATTATATCTTAATTGATGGAGGCTTCACCTCGCCTGTGACTGGCAGAAATCTGCCCATACCATGTTACTACTAAAAAATAATAAAGATTTGATTTCAAATATATATATATATTTGTATGACAATTTAAAACAGTTTATTGATAGTAATTATTTATTTTTAATCTGTATCCCAGAGGCTATTTATTTGCGTAATTTTGAACATGTGACCAGTAGCAGAGGGGTAGAAGCCCCTCCTGCTTATGCTTCCTTGCAGACCTGCTGCGATAGAGCTGGGTCATGTGACAGATGTATATCAATCAGGAAAAAGGTACTTCGATTTTATTGTAATTAAAATAAATACAGTGCCATCATCCACATACTGAAAGAGAAAGGGATAATGTAAATTAAACTGTGTGTGTTTAGTATTACTTTGTCTTATACCTCTATCTAACAGATCAACTATACCTGTATAGAAAACAAAGTTCAAAAAATTCTTTAATTATGTATTTTTTTCCCCCTGTGCTTATTAAATGCCTAGACTTCCAGACTCACCTGTGATTATGTCATGGTTGATCCCGTCTATGGATATTGTTGCATTAGCAATGGGATTTCCCTGATGGTCCTTGACAAATCCTTTCACGCCACGATGCACCTGGAAAATAGATAAACTTGTTACCAGGCTATGTCCATCAGTAAGAGTCCAAAGAAAAACTCCAGGCAAATGTATAAAAACACCCTCTAGTAACATAAATATTCTTTTTAAAAAGCAAGATTCAGTCACAAATTGCAATTTTTTTTTCCTATTGTGTGCAACCTGTGTTGCTTCCAATTTTTCCACCTAGGCAAGAATGATCCCCGGCCTGAAGCATCCCGGGATACCCATGTCAAGCAATCTAAGAGGCTTCAGGGCCATGTAGCACACATTGTGTCTTCACAAAAAATGATGTCTCTCCACTGCCAAGTCCTCCAACTGAAGGAAAGGAGTGCTAAGAGGAAGGGTCTGATTGCTAACATTACCTAATCAGTCCCAATGTAATAATAATAGAAACACTGGGAAATCTCATGATCAGAAAAGTACACTTCTGGGGATTTTCTGTACACAACTATTCTGCTTGCAATTCAACACATGCATTACTTCAATAAAACAAAGATACCTGCTTAACGTAATTCACTAAAGAGTCCTTGTTTTCTTCCCAGTAATTCTTTAGTAGTTCTTCAGGTGGAAACTTGTCACAGCTCAACTCCACTGTTATCTCAAAACAGTTACTGCTTAAATAATTGAAATCCTGCATACCTGGAAGCCAAGCACATTGTTGAATTGTTTACAGAGAGACTTCATTGAAACCACATCCTTGAACTGTAGGTTATAAACAATGTAATATGTAACATGTGTATCATCCAGTTTGCTCATGCTGGTTTTATCTACCAAAACAGGAAGGCAGCAAAGCAATTGTGTTGAGGTCCATAGGTGGAGAACAATGAACATTAAACAAATGTCATCATTTGCACTGCTCTTTGCACCCCTCAATAGGTCCACAGTGAGAAATACTGCCTAAAGAAACCAACAGAACCTTCATCAATGCTACATTCCTCTACCCTATTTAAAAGGAAACATTTCCAGATGTGCATATTGAAGCTTCACTGCTTTTATTGTATATACAAACACATGGAAAAAGGTGGAATAAAGGAGGTGTTGTTCAATGTTCACAACATCCGATTAAACATTTCCATGTTTTTATGTGAAAACCAATAGAAATTGTTTACGCTAGAAAATTATTTACCCTAAAGGGTTTAAAAATGAATGAAAATCAATAAATAGGAAAAGGTTTGCACACCCTCAGTGGAAAATATAGCAAATCAGACAACACAATGTAATGGGGTGGGATAATTATATTAACAGACTCCTCCAAAGGAAAAAGTCTCAAGCAACCACTAGTAAAGTAATGAGATAGTCATCACACCACTGTCTGTTTAGAATTAATGTACTGTCACATATAAATAGTTATACTATCATATAAAGACAGGACATACACTATATTGCCAAAAGTATTGGGACACCTGGCTGTACACGCACATGAACTTAAATGGCATCCCAGTCTTAGTCCGTAGGGCTCAATATTGATTAGTCCGACCTTTGCTGCTATTATTATTATTATACAGTATTTATAAAGCGCCAATAGTTCACTCAGCGCTGTACATTACAAAGGGGGACAGAACATGTGACAGAACAATACCAATACAATGTGATACACGAGGGGTTCGAGGGCCCTGCTCTTTCGAGCTTACAATCTAGGAGGGAGGGGATGGTGGCACAGGAGGAGATAGCTGTGGGGGATGGAGTGGTAGGAAGAGTGGAGGAGGTCGGCAAGTTAGCAGGGGGTGGGGTAGGCTTCCCTGAAGAGATGGGTTTTCAGGGTGCGCCTAAAGGAGAGGAGAGTAGGTGATAATCTGATGGGTTGGGGCAGGGAGTTCCAGAGGATGGGTGACACCCTGGAGAAGTCCTGGAGGCGGGCATGGGAGGAGGAGACCAGGGAACTAGAGAGAAGGAGGTCTTGTGAGGAGCGGAGTGTGCGTGCTGGGCGGTACTTGGATATTAGGTCAGTGATGTAGTTCGGGGCAGTATGGTGGACAGCTTTGTACGTCAGCGTTAGGATTTTGAATTTGATCCGTTGCGCAATCGGAAGCCAGTGGAGGGATTGGCAGAGGGGGGTGGCGGAGACAGAGCGGTTGGAAAGGTGAATGAGTCTGGCAGCCGTATTCAGGATCGACTGAAGCGGGGATAGCCAGCGGCGAGGCAGGCCAGTGAGGAGGGAGTTGCAGTAGTCGAGTCGTGATATGATGAGAGAGTGGATGAGCTGTTTAGTGGTTTCTGGGGTTAGGAACGTGCGAATTTTGGCGATGTTGCGGAGGTGGAGTCTGCACGAGTTTGTTAAAGATTGGACTTGGGGCTGGAAGGATAGGTTGGAGTCCAGAATGACACCCAGTACTCTGGCCTGCAGGGCGGGTTTGATGGTAGCGTTGTTGGATGTGACGGAGAAATCAATGGGGGGTGGTGTCCGGGCTGGGGGGAAGACAAGAAACTCGGTTTTGGAGAGGTTCAATTTAAGGAAGTGGAGCGACATCCAGTCTGATATGTCGCTCAGTAGGTGTGTGATTCGGGCTGAGACCAAGGGGGTGAGGTGGGGGGTTTGAGAGCGCCATAGTCGCTCCAGGGCACAACTTTGTCGTTTGAGGGTTTTGGTGTGATCAGTCTGCCAGGGCTGGAGTGGTCGGGGTCTGATGTTGCGTGTGGTTAAAGGCGCTAGTGAGTCAAGGGCTGTTGAGAGCGCATTGTTGTAGGCGGTCAAAGCCAAGTCAGGGCAGGACAGGGGGAGGATGCGGTCGTGGAGTTGATCAGCTGCAGAGTGGAGGGAGGCAGGGTTAAGGTTGCGGAGGTTACGGCTGGTAGTAGTGTGACATTTGGAGGGGTAGGTGTTGGAGGACGAGGAGATAGAGAAGGTGATCAGGTTGTGGTCAGAGAGAGGGAAGGGGGTGTTAGTGAGGTTGTGGGGAGCGCAGAGGTTGGAGAAGACAAGGTCCAGCTATAACAGCTTTAAACTATTCTGGGAAGGCTGTCCACAAAGTTTAGGAGTGTGTCTATGGGAATGTTTGACCATTCTTCCAGAAGCACATTTGTGAGGTCAGGTACTGATGTCAGATGAGAAGGGCCTGGCTCGCAGTCTCCGCTCTAATTCATCCCAAAGGTGTTCTATCACGTTGAGGTAAGGATTCTGTGCAGACCAGTCAAGTTCCTCCACACCAAACTCACTCTTCCATGTCTTTACGGACCTTGATTTGTGCACTGGTGTGCAGTCATGTATGAATAGGAAGGGGCCATACCCAAACTCTTCCCACAAAGTTGGGAGCATGAAATTGGCCAAAATGTCTTGGTATGCTGACACCTTAAGAATTCCCTTCACTGGAACTAAGGGGCCAAGCCCAACCCCTAAAAAAACAACCCCACACCATAATCCCTCCTCCACCAAATTTTACACTTGGCACAATGCAGTCAGGCAAGTAGCGTACTCCTGGCAACCACAAAAACCCAGACACGTCCATCAGATTGCCAGACAGAGAAGCGCATTTGGTAAATCCAGAGAACACGTCTCCACTTCTCTAGAGTCCAGTGGAGGTGTGCTTTACACCACTGCATTCGGTGCTTTGCATTGCACTTGGTGATGTAAGGCTTGGATGCAGCTGCTCAGCCATGGAAACCCATTCTATGAAGCTCTCTACGTATTGTTGTTGTGCTAATCTGAAAGCCTCACGAAGTTTGGAGGTCTTTAGCGATTGACTCTGCAAACAGTTGGTGACTTCTGCACACTGTGCTCTTTAGCATGCGATGACCCAGCTCTGTCATTTTATGTGGCCTACTACTTTGTGGCTGAGTTGCTGTTATTCCCAGTTGCTTTCACTTTGTTATAATACCATGAACAGTTGACCGTGGAATATTTAGTAGGAAGGAAATGTCACGGACGGACTTATTGCCCAGGTGGCAACCTATCACGGTACCACGCTTGAATTCGCTGAGCTCCTGAGAGCATCCCATTCTTTCACAAATGTTTGTAGAAGCAGTCTGCATGCCTAGGTGCTTGATTATATACACCTGTGGCCATGGAGGTGATTGGAACACCTGAATCTATTGATTTGGAGGGGTGTCCCAATATTTTTGGCAAAATAGTGTACATATACATTTTGGCTGGACTGTGCCTCAAACAAACCCTGCTAATGCTATATAAAGGAATGCTACCCAGAGTCTCAGTTATACAATAGTCATAGGAAAGATTTTATAAGGAGAACATCCAGCAAAAACATATGTAAAGAAGCACAAGATACCAAATACCGACTCTTTTGTGGTTGTGTTTGGCTTAATAAATGAGGTTCTTCTCTCTGAAACATTTGCATCATTCACATTAATGCCTTAATGTAAGCAAGGGTGGATTTACCATTAAACATAGTAGGCCTGTGCCTTAAGGCAGCAGAAAAAGAGAGCAAATAACCCTTGTAAAGTTATCTCCCACATTTTTTACTCATAATAAGAAGAAGTGCAGTTATCTAATACAAGCTTACTTACTGACACAGGAACTGTGACCCGTTCCTTATTAAAGTGGTAGTAAACACAGATATTAAAATAAAATAAATGGTTTCCCTGCAGGTTTAAGTCATAATGTACTAGTATGCACTGCGTACTGGTACATTCCTATATGACAGACCTATCTTCAAATGGAGCCCTTCAGCGTTGCGCTGTCACAGATCTGTTTGGTCTCCGGAGGCTTCCATCTATGCCCGGTCTTGAATGGACAGGCCGAAGCAACGTCACACCTGCACATGCACATGTGAGTCATATCACAGAAGCATGCAGAGCGGGCTGTAAATGTGGTCCGAGCTGCGCATGTGTGGCTCAGATCACATTACCCGCTGCTGGGTTGGGGCATTAATGACAGAAGAGATCTTTAGTGTCTCTTCTGTTATAAAAACCCTGCCACTAAATCAATCTTCACTGCCACTTTAACCTGGCAAAAATTCACTTTGTGGGTGTCCATGTTGCCCCCCATCATTATTTGATTGAAAAATTGAAGGTGCAGAGCATAAAATTGTCAACTGATACAATATCCCAGAAGATAGATTCACCCATCTGTACTGTATGGCGTAGATTGAGGAATCTGTTAGATTTGTTTTTTTTTTTAGTCTGTAGTGTATGCCAGTATATGGCTCACCTAGGCCAGGGTAGGACCAAACCAAAAAACAAGGAAATGTTCTGTGTAAATGGATAATCCTAGCATAGGGGTACATTTTGAGGTGCCAAAGGTTGTGTGCCTACAGGTTCTAGTGATATAATTGATGCAATATGTAAAAGTAAGCAATAAGTAGATGGTTTTGTCTCCTGCCAAGTGCCTGCTGAATCATGGGGCAAATGTAGTGAAATGAGCTCAGTGACTCAGTACATATGGAAGAAGTGGGGGCAGTGGTGTGGGACAGCTGCCTGGACTTTTTTTTAATTTAATATTCAGGTCATGGTCATGGGGGAGCAGCAGAAATTCCACAGCAACAACACAGACACAGGATACTCTTTTACATGCAAAGTTCATGTGGATCCAGCTTTAGAGTCATGTACACGTGGAAGCGTTAAAAAAAATACAAATCTTGGTGTGCTTCTCTGTTCCTTAGCTAGTCACAGCAGAATCTTCAAATGACTACCAATGATCTTAGAGTGCATGTAGATTGGCTTTCTTTTCCAGTATTTTACTTGGGTATGAAACAACCATTTAAAGCATGTCAGGTCACTTCCATTAAAAAACGATGCAGTGTTGATATGTGTTCAGAGACTTCATATAAATGGTTTTATGTGTTTTTGTGGATGCAGTCTATTGTGTATTGGGATGTGTTCCTGCAGCTTCAAAGGGACCACCAATGGTTGAAAAAAACAGAAGGCGCATGCTTTAAAGCAGAACATGAAATTAATTTTAGCATAAATCTCATCTACGTAAGCGCTTAAAGGAGTGGACACATGTAATATTTAATCTGCTTGTCTGATTAAAGAACTATTTTGCATATTAACAGTTTGAAGAAAAGAGACCAAATTTGCTAACATGCAATCTAAGCAGCCATACATTAATAGTTTCTTTAGACTGTAGGTCTTCATTGTTTAGACCAGCCCTTCTCAACTAGGGTGCCCAGGCACCCTGGGGTACCTTCAGGCTTCTTCAGGGGTGCCTTAGCAAAATGCCCAAAAATTGTATACAAGCTAGCAGGTGGATCAATCCTGCCTTTTACTACACAAAGCCACAAGTTTTCATTGTGCACTTTTATAACCTTCTAGCTGCCAGCATCCTAACAACCAATGACATCATCACTTGATAATGAGGACGTCGGGTGCATGCACATCATCCTTGTTTGGCCCTCCCCTGTCCCTCTCTGGGGTCACAATAGCAGAGTAAGGGAAAGAAAATGAAAGACACACTGGAATACTAGTCAGTACCAGTGTGCAAAGGTGTATTTGCTTTGGAAGAATAAATCACCTCTAACATTGGGTGTACTGGATATGTGAAGTATAGGTTTTTAAATTTTAGATTGGGGTGTCTTGAGATTGTGCAGAATTTTAAAGGGTGCCTTGAGATTATCCATAATTTTAAAGGGTGCCTTGACTGAAAAAAGGTTGAAAAACACTGGTTTACACTACCTATCATATCAAAGTGAAATAAATGACTTGCAATGGAAGCTTACCTCCAGGAACACTGTACCATGCAGCACCATTTGTTGTCCCATCCACAAAAACTGCTTTCATCGTCATTCCTGCGACATGGTTGCCGATTAGTGTCAGACATAACTGGGTTGAGAGAAGAATAAGTACGGGCCAAATTTTGGAAAACTTTGTCATCAGGGCAAGCACTGTATTCATGAGAAGTGCCTACAGGAACAAAGAAAACAAAATAAGGGGGGTGATGTTCATAACGATAGTTTGATTTCATTCTGGCAAAGGTGAACGTGCTTTAGAAAAAGCAACCCATCACATTGCAATCATAAATTCATATATATCTTTATTTTTAATCTCCCTGGCGGTATGATTATTTCAGATTTTTGGTGCTGAAAGCAGTACCATTTTTTTGCATGGAAATATGTATTTTTTTTATTGTAGGCATGTAATTTTTAGGAATAACTCACTGAAATCTGTTCGAACAAGAGTCTAGTAAACATCCCGGGTATGATAAAATTTGAAACACAAAATCATAAATTATAATTTAATAAAGAAATCATAAAAATAATAATATAGTAATAATAAATTTAATTCAATGATATAATCAAACCAAAAACACTGAAATCTGAAATATAGCGCCAAGTTCGCACATCACTGAGCAAAGTCGCAAAATCGTTTTCAGTGTCTGATGACGAATTTCCCCACGAATCATTATCAATCAATTCTGTAAGTGGTTCTGATTTACTATCGCTGTTCTCTAGCTGGTCTAAAACCGCTTTTGACCAAATGGGACGCTTTTTGGACGCCATGGACATTTCTCAGTTTTTCAGGCAGAAAGAACAGTAAAAATGCAGGCAGGGCACAGAACAAAGCACTAGAGATAAAATGTATGTGAAATGGTTGATACAGTAATGTTTTACTATGTCAAATTCGTTTCTAAGAAAATGACAGTTTCAAAAAATTTTTTAAATTTGCCGCCGTTCCGGCCCCCGTACGTCCCGACGCTCGCAGGGACCGGAACACGGAAGTCGGATGCCGGCATCGGCTGGAGGAGATGGCTGGGGGCGCTGCAGGGGACGCATCGCGGGAGCAAAGGACAAGGTAAGCACTGCAGGGAATCCCTGAGCAACGCCGCATGGTAAGCCTGAGTGTAGCTCGGGGTTACTGCTTTTGGTACTGAAACCTTACCCCGAGCTACACTCAGGAATACCGCCAGGGAGGTTAAGTGAAAGTTTCCATCAAATGGAATCCCATCACATTTTCTGGAGTTTTACTTTAAGGCTGAACTTTAGTCAGAATACGAATTCCTGCTAGATCACTCCAGGCTGGCCCCTTTTACAGGTAAAACGTTATAAGTGCCTATACTGGTTAAAATCCATTAACACACTGCCTCACCCTGCTCTGCACATGCTCAGTTGCTTTCTATTTTTTGGCACTGTACTTAAAATGTAGAGCCCGATCTGCTGACATCCTAAAGATTTACTGCTGTTCAGTGGCTCTGGGCTTCAGTAAAATGGAAGCCCCCAGCAAGAGGAAACAGGAGCAATGCTGGAGGCAATTTACATCACACACTAATTTTGGTAGCATAATTATTAATGTGGAATGTATGTTCCTTGCTAAAGAATGTTATTTTGTATCAAGCTGTTATGGTAAAGTTCCACTTTAAGCTTGAGCAGTAGAGCTGGCCAGCTTCCAACTATAAATAAATCTCTGAAAGCTAGAGATTTTCTTGAGCTTCTAAAGCTTGAGAAAGATGTCCAGGTCATGATGCTTAAGATACCCCAGAGTGCTTTGCAATCAGCTTATTGTTGATTGTCGGTGATTTTCTGGAGTACTTGCTGTTAGGCACTTTATTTTTTTACAAAGTTGGAAATATCTGACGCTCCTTTGCAGGGCAGCTTGATTTAAACTACCCATTGGTTTTGCAGTTATTTTGCTTGAATAAAATATAGACAAGAAACCTTTTGTTTCCCACAAATACATGACTTTATTGCTAAGAAGAAAGCAATACACTTATTCGATTACTTATCCTATTACGAAGGACTGTGCTGAGTAATACATTTACACACTGTCATTCATCTGTGAACCAAAGGCTTATATGAATCCTTAACACTAGTCCAACAACTGAAACCTACTTAGATGAAGACAAGAACTTTCAATAATATTCCATTAACATCAGTACCTAGATCCGACTAAATATTTCCACTTGAACAGTAACAATGAAAATACAATATGTAAAAGAGTATAAGGCATAGAAAACCCCACTTTTCTCTCCTCGTACCTAATCGCTCGAGGCTTTGCCTATGCTACTTACATTTTTGTTTAGAAGCTTACCAGTGCGGGTCTTGTCATAAGGATAATTAGCAACAAGATCGCCTCCATGTAGATTAGCAGAAAGAACAAATGGAATATCCATAATCCAGTGAATGACAGCTTTGGTTTCAGGGGCAAGCTGGAAAAGACAATTGCATAGTATGTATGTTATTTACACCAGATTCCAGTAATGGGCAAATCTTATTTACTATGCATAAACAATTTATTAAACTAGCTAGCGGAAAGGTCTGCAATGTGTGCAAACTGCAGGCTCCTTCATAATCCAATCAGTTTGTTGCAGTTAGATGATAAATCATCGACATCATTTATTGCACTATGATTTTAGCCGCTTGCCGGCCGCCCTATAGCAGAAATACAGCTACAGGGTGGCAGGGCTGCGCAAAATCACGTATATATATATACATGAGTTTTCATTTCTGGGTAGGGGGAGCGTACGTCGCATTTGCCAGCTTCAGCTGTTGATTACCAGGCCCGTCTGGTAATTCCCCGCTGTCATCGAAGATCGCCAAGTATCACTGACGCGGGAGAGGTCTGTATATAAACAATACAGAACTCTCCCCTGTCCGCTCCAGCATGCTGCTTTGTATTGCTCTGCATAGCAGAGCAATACAAAGCAGCATGCTTATACTGTAAAAAACACACAAAGTAAAACAGCACACAGTTAACCCTTTGATCGCCCCAGATGTTAACCCCTTCCTGCCCAGTGCCATTAGTACAGTGTCAGTGCGTTTTATTAGCACTGATCACTGTATTGGTGTCACTGGGGATGTCAGTGACACCAAGTCAGTCCCCCCCAGTGCTAGAATGCCCGCAGCAGTCCCGCAGTCCCACTATAAGTCATTGATTGCACCATTACTATGATTGCCGCCATTTGTAAACACTATAACCAATTAATTTACACGTATTGGGATTTTTTTTAGAAAAGACATGTAGCAGAATACATTTTGGCCTAAATTTATGACAAAATTTGATTTTTTAAAATTTTTTTACTGGACATGTTTAATAGCAAAAAGTTAAAAATATTGTTTTTTTTTCTCAAAATTGTTGGTCTTTTTTTGTTTATAGCGCAAAAAATAAAAAACACACAGGTGATCAAATACCACCAAAAGAAAGATCCATTTGTGGGGAAAAAAATGACATACATTTCATTTGGGTGCAGTGTTGCATCACAGTGCAATTGTCAGTTAAAATGACGCAGCACCGTAACGCAAAAAATGGCCTGGTCAGGAAGGGGGGTAAACTTCTAGAGGGCAAGTGGTTAATAATCTCAGATGGACTGATACCTTGGTGCTTTGATCGACTGACTTCTTCAGGTTCTGCATTAAGTGATGATTGTTTCCTCCTTCTCTTTCATTGATGTACACGATACGATCCAAATCAGGGAAATTTCTGTTCAGATCTATACCTTGGCCATTGCTGCGACCCACAAACCAGTCTTTAATATCACCAGGCTTATGAAAGGATTTAAGAAAACACATTAAGTTCAAATATACACAAAATATTTCAGATATAAAAGGACACACTTTAAAGGCCTGGTTCACACCTATGCGTTTTTTAGTGCTTTTTGCAGAAACGCACTACAGTCAGTTTAACATGGTTTCCTATTGGACACGTTCACATCTATGCTTTTTTGAGCAGCTGTGTTTTTGGAAAGGTCAGGAACTTAAACAAAAAAGTAGCATTTTTGCTACAATAGAGTTCAATGGAGATGCTACTGAAATGCATCTAGTGCGTTTTTGCCGCAATTTGCATTTTTATTCTGCCCAGCAACAAAAACATTTCCCCTTTAACTAAAAAAAAAAGCAATACGCAGCAAAAACACGTGTGCAAAAACACATAGCGAAATGAAAAAATGGATCAAACGCAAACTGCATTGGTGTGAACCAGGCCTAAGGCTTCATCCTTCTGCCTTCTCTAGTCTGTCTGAAGATACAATAGATTTAATGAATGTAATTAACAGAAAATACATGTCATAATCTAAATTTGATTTTACATATTTGATTACATACATTTCCCAATGAGTTTCACTCAGGAAACACTTGAAAACTATTCCTTTAGAATGAACATGTCCCATTTTTTGTCTCTTGTGCAGGTCTTCAAAATGACCACTAGAGAGAGCATGAGCACACTAATTCTCCATAACCCAAAGCATAACTTCTGTCTACACTGGAATAAATCTGAAACCAGAGAATTATAGAAGGTATTATTATTATTATTATTGTTATAATACATGATTTATATAGCGCCAACAGTTTGCACAGTGCTTTACAATCTAAAGGGAGACAGTTCGGTTGCAATGTAATAAAATACAGGAGAGTTTAAGAAGGCCCTGCTCATAAATGCTTACAATCCAATAGAGAAAATGATATAAAAGGTTGTAACTGTGGGAGATGAGCTCATATAACAGATAAAAGTTCAGTTAGCTGGAGGCGTGATAGGCTTCCCTGAAGATATGAATTTTTAGGGATCAGCTAAAGGCAGCCAGAGTAGGAGATAGCCAGACAGATTGAGGTAGAGAGTTCCAGAGGATTGGGGAGGCTCCAGAGAAGTCCTGGGGATAAGCATGGGAGGAGGAGACACAGGAAGTAAAGAGTAGGAGCTCTTGGGAGAAACATAGAGGATGGTCTGGGTGATATTCTGGGACAAGACTGGTGATGTAGCTCAGGGCAGAGTTATAATTTACTTTGTTTGTCACTGTTAGTACTTTGAATTTAGTTCACCGGGCAATCGGATGCCAGTGGAGGGATTGGCAGAGATGGGGGCAGACACTGAGCAGTCGGTGAGGTAGATGAGTCTTGCAGTAGCATTCATGATGGACTAAAGGGGGAAATAGCCTATGGAGAGGTAGGCCTATTAAAAAAGGTAATGGAATAGTCAAAGCGAGAGATATCAAGGGAGTGAATGAGTAGCTTGATGGTTTCATTAGTTTAAAAGGAACACATTTTAGAGATGTTATGAAAGTGAAGTCTACAAGCTTTTGACAGCAATTGGATTTGGGGCTGAAAGGACAGGTTAGAGTCCAGTACCCTGGCGTGACATGAGGGACTGATAGTGGTAGTATTGATCTTGATGGAAAAGTCATGTGGAGATCAATAAGGCAGTTCAGCCTATAATTCATAACTGATTTTATATGGAAGGACACAGTAGTGACATAGTGGACAGTGAGCACAGTGTGCAGCTGGCTTCTGACACAATCGAAAGTTTCAGATACCAATGGCACCTAGAGCTCTGCAAGAGAACAAAGAATGGAGTCACCGCCCATTGAAGAATTAAAGTGATTCTAAAGGTTTTTTGTTTTTTTTGGAAAATACCAAACATGTCTATACTTACCTGCTGTGTGTAGTGGTTTTGCCAAGATCAGCCTGGATTCTCCCCTTCTCAGGTCCCCTGCAGGCTCTCCTGGTCTCTCCCTCCTGTTGGGTGCCCCCACAGCAAGCAGCTTGCTATGGGGGCACCCACTGCTCCATGTGTCCATTCACACATGGAGCCGTGGCTTGGCCCCGCCCCCTCTTTCTCCTCATTGGCTGACTGGCTGTAATTGAGCCAATGGTTCCCACTTCCTGTCTCAGCCAATGAGGAGATACAGATCCGGGACAGCTGAGGCTGTCATTCACATTGCTTGATCATGATGAGGCTCGGGTAAGTATTGAGGGGGCTGGGGGAACTGCTGCACACAGAAGGTTTTTTACCTGTATGCATAGAATACATGAACATATAAAACCTTCAGCCTTTCCAACCACTTTAAAGGATAAGTTTACCTTTTTGACAAAAATTAAAAATGCACATTTTTTGCAGGTAAAAAAATGTGCATTTATTTTTTTTGTCTGCAGGATCCTGGGAAGCATTGCACCCATGATCAGACAATTGCTGATGCCATGCCTGTCTCTGGCAGACCTGTCAGAATATCTGCTTGCTGTACAGGATGTACAAGTAAGCAGATATTCTGAAAGGAAGCTTCAATGAACTACCACGGCGCTCCACAGTGCCGTGGTAGATCATTGAAAACTACAAGCCGATAGCTGCTAAGGCTGCTGGGACTTGTAGGCACTCATTCACAGAACTCTGTGAATGAGCCCCACATGGCCGTGCTGTTTTCACATCTGATAGATAGTACAGGGAAACTTCTCACCATACTATCTATCAGAGGGAGGGGGTAACATGTAACATTATCCTTTAAGTATTTTTGTAGTGACAGTATCACTTTAACTGCAACCTCATCACAAGTATAGGTGAAGCACATATAGCAAATAACAGTTTCCTGTTTATATACCTTCAATATGAAAAGGTTATAGGTAAGTGGGCAGGTATGACCTACAAGCCACCAGTCTGAGGTATCTATGAGGCTGGTGCAAGTTCTTTGGTGCACTGAAATCTGACTGCTAGCAAACCTTCCTGGAGTCTCAACAACAAAATCTTATTTTCTAGCCTGTGCCAAGAAGATGTGTCATCTCAGAGGGAAAGAGACATATGATTGGTTTCCTAGAATACAAATGTAACAAGCCCTTGTACAGACCTCATCCTTCCTGTTTAGATTTAATCTGATTCAAATGAACCTGGTTCATCCTAAAGAGGGGTCATTGTCTAAGATCATATAGGAGTTAATTGGAATTACAGTTATTAATTGATTTTAAATATTTTTATTTTATAACAAATTATTCATATAAAAGTTAGATGTAGTGTGCGATTTGTGTAATAATGCTTTTTTCGATATGCAGTATTATAAAAAATCAAGCCTCCTACCCGTGCACCTCTGTAGTAACAGCCCTTTTATGATATTCTGTTGCTCATTGTTAACATGCAGCAGATCACCATTTCAGTCCATTCAGGACTTAGCTAGATAACCATAATACAGAAGCCTAGGAGCCAATCATTTCAGCTGCTGGGATTAAAGTATATCTAAAACCAAAACTTTTTTTTTCATTTTAGATAAAAAAGGAAATGATGATCCTCTCACGTGTCTTTTTCTGCCATCTGTGTCCCACTGGGGAGATTCCAATCCTTCTTGTAAACACAACAGCAAGTGGCAGGACATCTCTCCAAAATGAGAGAAAAATCCCTCTTAGCAGTCACCGGAACAAGTATCCCAATAGGAAAATAAACCCTCTTGTCTTGACAAAGCAGAATGCTAGACCATACCCTGTGACAGAAGAGCTGCATGATTTGGTAGGGCCCAAGGAGAGTGTGCAAGGAGTTTGATGAGGTCTGAGTATCACATTCTCCTGGGCCAGTTTGGTGAAATGAACATCAGTGGAACACCCTCTTTCTGCAAAGTAGATGAAGAAGAAGCTTCAGGTGGAAAGGCAAAGATCAAGATGAACTGATCTCAATCTCGTGGAGATACCAGGGCATCCACTGAGTGTGCCTGGTCCTGGTGAGAGAGTAGCAGAGCTAAGACAGGAGCTAACATCTTGGTGAAGACTGAAGGTGCTGTGGACAGCCCAAATGGGAAGGCAACAAACTGTAAATGTTGTGTGCCCACAGCAAAATGCACGTAGTATTGATGGGGAGAAAAATGGGAATATAGTAAGTAGGCACACGTGAGGTCTTGGCTGATGTAGCAGATTGCATACAGAATTTTTAAACAAAAAGGGAACTTATTGCGAGTTTACGGATCCTGAATGAGGTGAATGTCCCATTTTACTTTGGGGACAATTAACATTTTGGATATTTCCCTCTCTTTGGAACTGGGGCCGCACCCCCCCCCCCCACACACACACACGCACACACACACACTCCTGTGAGAGGAACTACTGTGTGGAGGAAATCAAGTTTGATAGCATGAAGTGGGGTAGAGGCATGCATCAGAACCTTATCTTGCAGCCCCGACAACAATCAGGACCCAAGCGACCAAATGTCTAGGTCTGGTGACGAAACTGTGAGATGGGCTTTGTATCTTACTCAGATGATGAGAGTTCTTTTTTCTCCTAAGGAGCTAAAAAACTTTCATGAAGGAGATTTTGTCCTCTACTTCTGCAACAAGAGGATACTCTTAGTCCCTATGACTTCCTTGATGTAGGTGTCCAAGGAGTTATGAAATAGATATTGTCATTTTAAAGGATTCCAAACAAGATGCTTCTTGAGCCATACTTGAGCCAAAGGATCCATTGAATATGCGCCAAAAGAGGGCTCATCCTAGGAATTGTGCAGAGAGTATCTGCTAACCTATCAATGCAGTAAAATTAGGCAATGGGCAAAAGCTTCAACCGAGAAGAGATAGATCAGTAAGAATGGACCCAGTGCCTCAGGCTATGCCCCTGGACCAGACAGCCAGAGTCTGACATGCAGACATGGTAGCAATCGCAGGTTGCATAGCAGGACCAGCCAGAGAAACCATGGCTTTAACGAGGGCTTCTAACTGACCCACAGGGTCTTTGAAACCTGGAACACCCATAGACACTGTAAGGGTCTTGTCAAGGCAGAACATTGCTCAGATTATGATAAGGACTGTCCATTTGTTTCAGGAACACTTCTCAATAGGGTATTACTCAGCAGAGCGCATGAGGATATGAAGATTTTTTCAGGAACAGGCCAGTCACCTTATAAGAAAAGCTCCAAGAGGAAGTGTACTGGGGAAGCATCTTTTAGGAACCCAGCCTGGTCAGACTGAAATAGGTTGCTCTAGGGCAAGACAGGAGTATACTGTGTCAATAAGGACAGAGATAATATCTTTCAGCAGATTTAGCATCCTCCAGTGCAGAGTCATATGATGTGCCATCCATCACTTCATTGAGCATTGAAGCTGCAAGAGGATAATCAGAGAGGAGACTCAGAGGGGGTTTGATGGCATCCCAACATGTTTTAGGCCTCTAACAGGACAGACAGTCTTCCCAGTCAGCCCAGGGTTACTCACAACCTGTAATGTAAAGCAAGAAAAGGACATGCCTTCTGTGACCAGTCACTGTAGGTGGAAGGGGGTTAGCAAAAAGTAAAAAAAATAAAAATGGTTGCTTGTCTCAGAACAGAGAGAAAATATGTTTGTATATCTAAGGACACTAGCAAAACTGAGGTCTGAAGGGAGTGGAAGGGGTTATGCTAGGGCTGTCTTTACAGCTTTGCTTGTCCAATCACATGAAGGCATCTGCATGACCCAAATGTCTCAGACTCAGATTCTGTTTCCTGTAGCATACAATTAAGAAAAGTAGTTTGTACCTGTTTTCTGCAATATTACAGAACAATTTTTACCCAACTGAATATGACATCTTTCAATGACCAGAAAATAGTGCTGAACAAAGTGTCAAAGCTACAATTGACATATCAGATATAGTTTGCTGCAAACATCTGCATCACTCACCTGCTGTGCGGCTTTTTCAAACCCATCAGGATTCATCGAAGGCATTATGTGTATGCGAGTATTGTGGATCAGATTGATAATTGTTTCATTGCCTTTCTGATATTCATTGCAGAGATACTGGGCCAAATAAATAAGAAGTTCTCTGCCCACAGCTTCATTTCCATGCATGTTTCCAACGTACTTAAATTCAGGTTCACCTGCAAGAGTTCAAATTATGTTGAATGTTTGTTTCGATTTTTTTTAAACATTGTTTCACACTATAATTTTATATGTAACATTCATATCATAGTTTATTGAATAACTTTTTTTTACCCAGTGAGCAGTACATCAATGGCTGAAACGTGTGAGACATTTGTGTTGGACTTTTTTGGCCATAATGGTGATAAGAAAAGTGGAGATATACACTCAAAGGCAACTTTATTAGGTACACCTGTTCAATTGCTTGGTAAAATAAACTGCGAATCAGCCAATCACATGGCAGCAACTCAATGCATTTAGACATGTAGACGTGATGAAGATGACTTGTTGAAGGTCAGCGAGCGCAGAATGGGGAAGAAAGGGGATTTAGGTGACTTTAACCATTTGCCGCCTGCCCTATGGCCGAATGGCGGCCGGCAAATGTCATCAGCGTTCCGAGTGGACGCCATATGGTGTCCTCCCGCACATGTACAGATTGCGCTCCTGCAGAGCCACGCAGCGGCGCGATCTGTCACCGGCCGTGTACCTTGGACATGGCCGATGACAGATCTGAGTATCGGCCCCTGTTGCTTGGACCATGTCACCTGCTGTGACCAATCACAGCAGGTCACATGACAGTTGTATACATTGGATGGCTTCATTCATGCCATCCATTGTATACTAGTGTCTAGCTGTGAATGGTCACAGCAGGTCACATGCACATGTCATGTGATTAGCTGTAGCCAAATCACAGCTAAGCACAAAAAAAAAAAAAACCCTGAATGAATCGATGTCATTCAGGTAAATGCTTGCTTATAGCAAAGTAATTCTTTGCTATAAGCAAATTGTGTAAAAAAAAAAAAAAAAAAAAAATACTGATCACTTCCCCAAAGTAGTACAATGTTACTATGGTAACATTGTACTACTTTGGTCATAGTGAAATATGAAAAACAAATCTTAAAAAAAAGAAAAAAAAAAATGTAATAAAAAATAATAATAAAAAAAAATATATATATATATATATATTTTTTTTTTTTCATACTGTCACCAGTCAGTGTCCCTGATCACCGCCAGTTATATGACGACGCTGTACTGCACTGGTGACAATATGTAAAAAAAAAATATTGAAACTAATTTTTTTCATTTTTTCATTTACCGAAAAATTATGACAAAAAAAATACAACTTCAAAAAACTCGCCATGCCTCTTATGAAGTACGTCGGACTGTCTACTTTGCAAAAAGGGGTCATTTGGGGGATATCTGTCCTGTTCTGACATTCTTTGACCTCAAGAAATTAGATTGGCCGTCAGTACTTCAGGACTGATCAATATTCAGATCTATACCATAGTTTGTGAACTCTATAACTTTCCTACAAACTAAATAATACATCCTACTTTGGGTTATTTTCACCAAAGACATGTAGCAGAATACATTTTGGCCTAAATTTATGAAGAACAATTATTTATTTGCAAACTTTTATAACAGAAACAAAGAGAAACGTGTGTTTTTTTTCAAATTTTTTGGTCTTTTTTTGTTAATTTAGCACTTTAAACTGATTTTTAGCTATTTAAACTGATATTTGATGTTTCCATTTCTCCTCCAACTTCCTCAAGTAGCTTCTCTGCCTGTAAAACTCTGCTACATTGCAGCAAAGATGCTTGTGACAGATTCAAATATATCTTACCTGCACATACATGAGTCTGTTGCATGTTCCCCCTTTTGTAGCAATAGAAACAGAGGGGTTGATTTACTTAAAGAGGAACTACACTACATCTGAGCACCACAAATCAAAACCGCTATTTAATTCAATTTTAATATTCAAAGCAAACTCATCCATCCATGTATCTATGATTTATTTTGCTAAGAAATCATTTTGAAAAACACCCCTCTAGCATTTCTGACCTCTGACAACATAAGTAAGGGCAGATGAATTTACATCCTGGAATCTGCAATCCATCTGCCTTAGCCGAGAAAGCCCCTCCTGAAGACTTCTGAGATGTATGAAATCATTTGCCTAGGCATGAAAACCAGAAAGTAACTGAAGAAATGTAAAAAAAAAGGTTTAACAAGTAAATATAATATACATTCCTATCTATGTACTAATGCTAGCAGCATAGGGATTAAAAATAGTGTTCATTGAGAGAGTAAAGGCTTGCCTTAAGGCAAATAGACTGTGAACTTTGCAAGTGTAGTTTCACTCTGCAGTGCTGTTGCTCCAGAGTTTAGTAAATGAGGTGAAACTTCCCTTTGCAAAGGATACCCAAATTACATGCATCCACATGTGTGGATCCTAGTCCTGACCAACCTGAGTGATCCTACCAGGCAGCTGTCTCTGTACTGGGCCAATCATAAACAGCCAAGGTATTCCTTGCACCGCAGTCGCATGTACACACGCCTCTTGTATATATGCATCTGTGGGGTGTGGGAATGCCTCGGTTGCTCATAATCGATCCAGTGGAGGTGAGAGCTTATTGGCGGTCTAGGATCCAAACACCCTTGGGCTAATCCCTAATGATGAATGCTACAAAGCACGCACAATTAAAAAAAAAGAGGTCACCAATGGCAGATACCATATTGAAGATTTCCAACGTTTCTCTGTTTAAATATGAAGGCAATGATATCTTAGGTGGAAATTGTCAAGCTGATCAAGAGGTCAAGCAACTTCTGAATCTCTAGCCACAGGGATTTTTTTCAGAGGGAACACAGGGGAATGCAGTTCTGGCACCTCTATCACTGAATGGGTTGTTGGAGGGTCTATTGGTGCTGGCTGCTGGGGAATCTATTGTCACTGGGGGGATCTCTTGTTGCGGGGGAGTTTAGTATTGCAGGTGGGGATCTATTGTTGCTTGGGGGGTCTTATGTTCTTAGGGGGTCCGTGCTACTGTGAGGGATCTACTGTTGGGGGAGGGGGTCTATTAATACTGGCTGCTAGGAAATCTACTATATTGTTCCTGGTGGGGGTCTATGTTAATGGGAAATCTATTGTTGTTGGGAGGTATTTTGTTGCAGGTAGTCTATTGTTGCTGGGGAGCTATTTTTTCTGGGGGATCTAATGTTGCTGGGGGTCTATAATTGCTGTGGGGAGCACCTATTGTTCCTGGGGGGTGTTCTATTGTTGCTGGGGGGGGCTGCTATTGTTGCTGGTATCTTTTTTACTGCTTTTCTTGCAATCATTAACACATACAAATGATACTTTGTTCTATATTCTCTAAGAGGGGTGGTACTGAGAGGTGGGTAGGGGGTAGAACCAAGTGATGGTGCTCAGAGGTGAGTAGGGGGAGGAGACAAGGAGTTACTCAGAAAGCCCTGGCTAGCCATACTTACAGGAAACATTTGACTGGCCAGGGGCTCATTGAGGACCCGAGTGGAAGCTCTTTAAAGCGGAGTTCCACTCACACTGTACACAAAAAAATAAAAGTCAACAGCTACTTACCTGTCCCATGATCCCACTGCGTCCTCCCCGCAGCCAATTTCACTGTCTGTCCTGTGTTCCTGGTGCCGGCATCTTCAGTGTGGGCAATCGGCTGTGACAGCTTGCGGCTTCACAGCCGAGTGCCCACTGCACATGCGCGAGTATCGATGTGCTTCCTGAATTACCCCGTAGTCTTCTGGGACCTGTCACGTGTCCCAAAAGACTACAAGAAGGGAGGGCTGGAGGACAACTTCTGCTTTCGATCGCCTAGGCCAGGGGTGGGCAACTGTGGCCCTCCAGCTGTTGGTGAACTATAAGTCCCATCATGCCTCTGCCTTTGAGAGTCATGCTTGTAACTGTCAGTTTTGCAAGTCCCTCATGGGACTTGTAGTTCTACAACAGCTGGAGGGCCACAGTTGCCCACCCCTGGCCTAGACGATCGCAGCGCAAGTGGGAGCGGGAACCTGTCAAATTCGGGTACCTGCTCCCTAAAAAAATGCCAATCCTCAATGGGGAGCAGGGGATCAGTCTTTAAAGCGGAACTTCCCCTTTTTTGTGGAATTCTTCTTTAACCTTTAACAATTTCATGTTTTCCTTCACAGCACCACTGAAGCAATAATTCCCTGTAAATAATAAAGTGAATGTATTTGATCTGTTTCCAGGTATACAGAGCTCTGCACTCCTTTCACAAAACACAAAAATAGCTCTTTAGCATTTTAGGAATGCATCCCAGCTGCAGATTAAGTCTTGTGGTACAGGTTCATGAATGTAATGGGACTCTTCAACTCCAATTTCAACATCTTCCTTTACAAAGTCTTACAACCGTTATACAGCAACCTGTTAAATCAGATCCTGGGGGAATAGTAATGATGTATTTCACATTCAGCAGACAAACTTGTAAAAGAAGCTATTGTGATATGTGAGACTTTACACTTCTTTTTTTTTTACAAATGACTGATGACGGCGCGAACCATGCAAGGAATACATTTCTATGTAGAGTCATTGAGTGGGTGAAGTTGAGTTCAGATCCCAAGTTTTTAGTAGGGATGCACCAATACCAAGACTGAGTATTTTCACGAGCATTCATACTTGTGAAAATGCTCCCGATACTCAAACCAATACTTTACGCTGTGATTTGCACCAATACAAAATGTATGGATGCCAAATTGCACCATGAAGAATAGCATGCAGTTTGAACAGGAATGCTATTCCTGTCCAAATCGCATGCAGTTTCCACACTGCTCCCATGTGAAATCAGGCTTGTCATATCCTGAGTTCACACAGAAGTGGTGCAGGAAACCTCCCTGCACCGATCCCATGCTAAGTGGAGAGTGAGAGAGAAGGGCTTGTAGGGATGTATACACCGGTGTTGGCTATCAGGCAGAAGATGGGAGTCAGATGCTCTAAATCAGTGGTCTCCAAACTGTGGCCTGGGGTCCAGATGTGGCCTTTGCTTGGTTTTATCCAGCCCTTGGGGCACAATTCCATCCACTGACTTCAACATTGGGACATCATTCATGCCACTGACACCAACAATGGGGCACAAATCCTCCCATTCAGACGAATCATAGTATATAATTCCACCCAATATCACCAATAATGGGGCACTAT